GGGCCTCCCTGGTGGCACAAGGGGTTAAGCATCACACTATGAAGCAAGCCGCAGCCTCTGCAGCACAAGTTCGATCCCTAGCTGGCCAGGGAGAAACCCACATGGCGAGGCAGACCTCTCCTGTCTCGCCCACTGCTCCCCTCAGCAGTGTATTTCAGTCGACCTGCCTGTTCTGTTCCCCACTCTGTCTCTGGTGGATCCTCTCACCCCCCGCATCTCTGGCCTGTGCCCCAGCTCTTGTAGGCATAAATAAATAAATCTTTAAAAAAAAAAAAAAAGAAATAGCCTGTGTTTGCAAGTTAGTTTCTTTCTCAACCTGTTCCCTGTTTATATAAATTAGCCCTGAGGCCCATTTTCATTTTGAACTATGTTTGTTCTTCTCAGCACAAGTTGGTGGTGCTTCTACCAGTACAATTCTTTTTTTAAAGATTTATTTATTTATACATACAAGAACTGGGGTATAAGCCAGAGTTGTGGGGGGTGAGACAGAGTCCCCAGAGACAGAATGGGGAACAGAACAGGCAGACTGACTGAAATACACTGCTGAGGGGACCAGTAAATGAGTCAGGAGAGGTCTGCTGCACCATGTGGGTAGCTCCCTGGCTGGCCGGGGATCAAACTCATGCTGCAGTGGTTGCAGCGGGCTTCATAGGTTGCGTCTTAACTCCTTGCGCCACCAGGGAGGCCCCAGTACAATTCTTTTAACACCATTGCAGGTTTTCTAGTAACCCTATTGAGGTTCACTCTATTAGACAAAGGCCACATTCTAAAGTGTTTGAGGGGCCTCCCCGTGGCGCAGCGGTTGAGCGCTGGGTTGCGAAGCTGCCCACAGCCTCTGCAGTGCCGGTTCGATCCCCGGCTGCTCCCCGGTCACTGGAGGAGGGTCCCACATGGCGCGCAGACCTCTCCTGCCGCCCGCTGCTCCCCTCAGCAGTGTACTTCGGTCCTTCTGCCTGCTCTGCTCCCAGCTCTGGCTCTGGTGAATTCTCTCACCCTCCCGCACTTCTGACTGTACCCAGTGCTTGTATAAATAAATAAACAAATAAATTAAAAAAAAAAAAAGTGTTTGAAAGATAATCACCTCTCTTCCTTGGGCTTGGAATCAAGAGACTGTGAGATAATGTTCTTAAAAGTCTTATGGCCTTTTCATGTATTTTGGTATGTCTATCTTATATCTGTTTTGTGTTTTTTTTCTTAAGATTGATTGATTGATTGATTTATTTATTTATTTATTTATTTATTTATTTATTTATTTATTTATTTATACAAGCACTGGGTACAGTCAGAAGCGCTGGAGGGTGAGAGAATTCACCAAAGCCAGGGCAGAGAGTAGAACAGGCAGAGTGACAAAGTACACTGCTGAGGGGAGCAGCGGGTGGTAGGAGAGGTCTGCGCACCATGTGGGACCCTCACCCAGCAGCCGGGGATCGAACTGGTGCTGCAGAGACTGCGGGCAGCTTGGCAATCCAGCGCTCAACCGCTGTGCCACCCGGGAGGTCTTTATATCTGTTCTTTGCTCTGAAAAAAAATTCTGAGATAATTTTTACCTAGAGACTATACTTTACTTGAAGTGTGCTGTTAGGCCTTTCCTGCTTTGTGATTTGGGTATTAGAAATAGTTTTATTTTTTTTTAAAGATTTATTTTACTTATTTATGCATACAAGAGCTGGGGTGCAGGCCAGAGGTGTGGGGAGTGAGAGGATTCACCAGAGACAGAGTAGGAGCAGAAAAGGCAGACTGACTGAAATACACTGCTGAGGGGAGCAGCGGGCAAGACAGGAGAGGTCTGCTGTGCCATGTGGGTCACCTCCCTGGCTGGGATCCAACTCATGCTGCAATGGCTGCTGATAGCTTCATAGTGCTGAGATTTAACCTCTTGTGTCACCAGGAAGGCCCAGAAATAGTTTCATTTTTGAACCCAGTAAATGTTGGCTATTTTATAGTTCCTCTAAATTCTCCTTGAAATTTGAATAACTTCTTCTTTTGTTCAGTTCCTTCCCTGTATTTTGTTTCAGACCAATAGAAGTCAATTGGCAATTTCAACATTCTAATTGGAAATCTCAGCCAGATTATAAGATTGTGAAGGACCTGTTATAGTTTTCATTAGATGCTCTATTTTTCACAATACCTCATGTCACAGTGTTGCTAAACTTTTTGCCACCTATAGTTTTTAATCCAACTCTGTTAGTTTGCTAGGGGTGCTATATAAATTACCATAAACTGGGTGGCTTAAACAACACAAATATATAATCTCATAGTTCTGGAGGCTAGAAATACAAGATCAAGGTGATGGCAGGGTTGAGTTCTTCTAAGGGTTATAAGGAAAAATCTGTTTCATGCCTGTCTCCAAGATTCTGTTGGTTTACTGGCAGTCTTTGGCATTCCTTGGCTTGGAGACTCATAACGCTGATATCTGCCTTGTATTCACCTGGCATTCCCCCTATATGAGTATTTATGTTCATATCCCCCTTTTTTATAAGGAAACCAGTCATATTGGGTTTGGGTTCACCCTAATCTCCTCATTTTAACTGAGTTACCTCTGTAAAGGCTGTATATCTAAATAAGATCACATTCTGAGGTATTGGGGATTAGGACTCAATATATGAGTTTTTGTGGTCAAAATTCAACTCATAACACCCCCTTCATTAATAATTTCCTCCCTATCCTTCTAACCTTCATTTAAAACTATTTTTGCTTCTGTCATCTATCTCCAAAGCCAGTAACACACTTTTTGTTTGTTTGTTTGGTTTGGTTTGTTTTTGTTAGCTGTATCTAATTTTACCAATGGCAGTAACAGTTAGGGAACAAATAGGGAAGCAGCACCAATAAGGAATACAGGAATTATTATAGGGATTAGATACCCCACAATTACAGGGAAGAACATGTCTGGAAGGAGGTGGCTGGAGGATCACTGAAGTCAGTGAAGAAGTGTATGCAAGGTTGTTGCCTTTGTATCCAGTAGTGGGCCTGAAATTGACAGGTCATCAGGTCTAGCAGTCAGGAAGAAAAATTGCATTGATTGGGGGAGAGGACACATTAGGTTTGAAAGCACACGTTCCATGACGTTATTCTGCTTTAAAATTCGAAGTTTTTATGGGGATTGTGGGAGAAGTAAAGTTTGTGAAGCTTAGAATGTCTTGGTCATGTGTTTAAAAAAACCCAACAAACTTGAAATCTGTTTGGTGCTTCTAGGTTTGAGAGAAGAGGAGTGTCATCTAGTGGTTAAGCTGAACCTTGAATTAGTAAGGTTTCTTTTTTGTCCCCACCCAGAGTAAATTGAGTTGGCATGAAGAAATTAGAAGTTAAATTACATGTTTTTTCTGGCTGGCATACTTGGGTTGGGGTTAGGAAAGATAAGTGATATAAACAGGGCAGAAAAAGTCCTGACAAATGGCGATGAAGTGGGGTGAGGCCTTTAGGGACTTACAATCCTTTGATTTTGCTCTTTCTCAAGAGGGTCATCCTTTCCTCTGCCCTCAAGTTCCTCAAGTTCCCTTTGACTCCAGCATATTAAAGCAGGTCCTTTTTCTGTTCAAATTCCTCTTCTTTATGATGATCTTTTAATTTTTCACAAGGTACACACTTAGGAATATAGAAAGTGAAAAGAAAAGCAAACTATCTGAGAACCATTTCTCTGAAAACTCTTGTTTTTTGTTTTTCTCTCCATGTTGTACAGATTTGGTCTGGACTGGAGAGTCCAGGCTTTGTGCCTGGTGACTTAATTAAATTGGAGTCAGCCAATTATTATCTTAAGATGAGATCATTTGAAGACCTTTTCCAGAACATCTGGTGCAACCATTCTCAGCTGTAGAGAATTTGAAGCACAGAGTCAAGTGAGTATTAATAGATATTAATTAAACATCTGTAATTACAATGCTCTTCTAGGCTTTGATAAATTCTTTTATATAGTCCACTCATTCTAATTAGTACCCATTCCAATTCTAATTGGGTGGAGTGATTTTCTGGGGTCCTCCCAGATCTCCTATTCTGCAAGCAGCCAAGAACAGCAGCGTAGCTGAGCCAACACTTCCTAAGTTCTGAACTGATCCTCAAGAGCTGAGGGTTAGAAAGAAGATGCTGCCTGACCGTCTGGTTTCTAAATTCACCTCAGCCTCACTTCTGTGCTGGCTGGCACCCACTCCCTGCAAGACAGGTGCCAATAAACCTTGGTGAATGAATCAACTTCCCTTCAAAACTCTTCCCTGCCTCCCTTTACCCTACACACATCCTCTCCTATAGGGACTGCGCTAGCACTTAAATCTGTGTCTGATGAAGAACAAGAATAGAAAGACTGGAAAGGAGGTGCCCCAAGACCAAAACCTGACTTACACAAGGAGGTGGGGGTCGAGGGGAATAACACGACCATTAACCCAGCTGTAGAGGTCAGGACCCTTAGGCACCGGTGCCTTATCACAAGGCAGGAGACCTGAGCAGGATCAGATGCTATAGACGGTGGAGCACAGGGCTGAGGGTCCTGACCTCTACAGCTGCCTTAATGGTCATGTTACTCCCCTCGACCCCCAACTCCTTGTGTGAGTCAGGTTTTGGCCTTGGGGCACCGCCTTTCCAGTCTTTCTACTCCTGTCCTCCATCATGTCCACAGGCTTTTCGGGTCCTGGCTGGTCCCCTCAGTGACTCCATCCCCAGGGCAGGATCAGGGCTCCCTCTTTCTTTGCGGGGAGCCCCGCAGGCTGCACATTCCGAAGCTCAGATTTTTTTCCCCCGAGCTCATTTAGGGGGCACGCGACCACCGAAAATGGCCCCGACTGGTCTGGGGAGCACTAGACGGATATGGGGTGGTGTCGACCCTCCCAGCTGGGGAAGAGGGCCTGGTGTTCCCGCCTGCAACACGGACAGACCCGCAGACCCGGCTCTCCCGCCGCAGCGCCTGCGGCTCCCAGCTTGGGATAAGTGGGCGGGACCGGGGCGGGGCCTGGAGGGGCGGGGCCCAGAGGGGGCGGGGCCTGTCAGTCAGGTGACGCGCGGTTGGCGACGGCCGCGGCCGAGGGGCGTCAGAGGCTCGGAGGGGCCGGCAGGGTAGATCCGCGGTTGGTGCTGCGGGGCTGCGGCCATGGGGGGCTTTAAGGAGGAGCTGCTCAAGGCCATCTGGCACGCCTTCACCGCGCTCGACCTGGACCGCAGCGGCAAGGTCTCCAAGTCTCAGCTCAAGGTGAGCGGCCCCCGCCCCAGCCGGGTCCTCCGGGCGCTCCCCTGCGCCGCGTGGAAGTCGGACCCGGAGGGCGGGCGGTGGCCGCAGGCGAGGGGGGGCCGGGCCGGAATGTGGCCGGGCGGAGGGCAGAGCCCGGGATTTAGCGATGTCTGCCTCCCTCTCGTGGTCTGGCTGTGCCCTCGGCCGGGCTGTTAGCCCTCCCCGGATCCCCGCGAGCTGGGGGGAAAGCAGGGGTGGGGTCTGTGAGGGGCGAGCCCGGTTGCCAGTTGGCGCCGGGGACCCCGACGTTTCGGAGGCGGCGGGAACCCCCCCAGGATAACTTCTCAGAGTTTCCCCTTCCCTCTGGGAGAGGAAGGTACTTGCCCAGAGTCTCTGGGGTAGCGCCTTCTCCACGCACACCCCACACCCAGAGAGGGGAGTTGAGCTCCCAGGCTGTGCCCCAGGGCCAGGCCTCCTTTGGGGGCACTTTCTGACTTTTGAAGACCTCCCCGCCCAGGGCCCTCAGATCTGGAACTGGTGGAGGGGTGTGCTGTGTTCTTTGGGGTCCTTGAGTTCCTGGTGAGGAGGACTGATCTTTCTGGCACCCTGCTTTTGCAGTCCTTGTTGTGACTGCCAAAGACCCCACCACTAAGGGGGAGTATATGAGGTATAAATAAAGGAATGCTTGTAAGTTGAGTAACCCCAAGCAGGAAAAGTGGCATTTAGCCAGGAGAAATAGGCAGCTTCTGGAAAGTATAAAATATGGAAGCAGACAAGAAGAACCATTCATAGGCACTTTAAAATATACACGCTTTGCTCCTGAGTGTTTTCCTTAACCTCTTCTGGAATGAATTACTGAAGATTGGGTTTGCTCTGTGCATATTTTGTGCACTAATCAAGAGGTTCTTTTGGGTAGTGGCTTTTATGCCTGTGGGACCTAACATTCCCCTTTCTCCCGCCTCTATTTCTCATTTATAAAATCATAGTCTGGACGTGCCCAGGGAGATCATCCAGTTACTCTTTATTTACTTTTAGATTAACATACAGTAAATTTGACTTTTTTTGGTGTCCTGTTTTGTGAGTTTTCGCACATAAATAGATTTGTATAATTACAACAAAATTAGTGTTCCGTCATTCAGAAAAACTTCTTTACGTTGCTCCCCTTCCCTTAACTATTGGCAACCAATGCTCTGTTCTTAATTGGTATAGTTTTTGTTTTTTTTTTAAAAGATTTATTTATTTTTATACAAGAGCTGGGGTACAGGCCAGAGGCACGGGAGGGTGAGAGGATTCAACAGAGATAGAGCAGGGAGCAGAACAGGCAGACGACAGAAATACACTGCTGAGGGGAGCAGCGGGCGAGACAGGAGAGGTCTGCTGCGCCATGTGGGATTCTGGATGGAACCCGCACTGCAGATACTGTGCACAGCCTCACGGCGGCGTGGCCCTCAACCCACTGTGCCACCGGGGAGACCCAGTTGGTGTAGTTTTATCAATGTTCTATAAATAGTGTCGTACAGTATAACTTTTTGACACTAACCTTTTTTACTTAGCATAATGCCTTAGAGATTTATCCATTTTGTTGTGCATATCAGAATTCTTTTTATTACAAAGTAATATCCCATTGTATAGATGCGCCATGGTTTATCCATTCAAACTTGTAGACCATTTGTGCTATTTCCAATTTTTGGTGATTATGAATAGAGCAATATTTTGCTTTTTACTCCTTTTATTTTTTATTCACCTATGCCACTATGAGGTGGTTTCTTGTAGATAACATGTATAGTTATCTACATGTTAGGTCTTGTTTTTTTAAAACTTATTTCCTTATATCTTGTTAATTTTTGTGCAGTATTTGATTTCTTCTCTCAGGTGTAGTTCCCCCTGGGTGTTGTTTTTTAACCTGACAATCTCTGGCTTTTAATCGGTATGTTTTGACCATTTATATGTAATGTAATTATTGATGTTTAGATTTAGGGCTACTATTTTATTATTTGGTTTCTGTTTGTTTCTCATTTTTTGTTCCTCTCTTTCCTTTTCCTATTTTTTAGATTTTTTAAATATATCTTAGTATTCCAGTTTAAAAAAATGGTGAAAGATTTATATGATTTGAAGAGAAACTAGAGTATAGTATTCCATTTTAATGTTGAAGTTTTTGCAATTTTTTCCACATAGTTTTTTAATGGCTGCCCTAGGGATTATAATATGCATACCTACCTTTTCATAGTCTGCTTAATATTAATATTTTCACTGTATTACTTTTAACCTTTTGACCTCCCTGATTTATGTAGTAGTTTATATTTGTTAATGTTACACATTGAAAACTCTGTCAGAAAGTGTTAAAATTTTTTGCTCTCAACTATCACTTTTATTTTAAAGATCTTAAGAGTAGCCTCCCCCTCCATATCCCTATATTACCCTTAATTTTACAGACAACGTAGATGATGCTTCTAAGATGCTTGGGGACTTGTTCAAAGTTATAGTTGTAAGGAACAGCTAAATCTAGAACCAGAATTTTCAAATTTTCTAGCCAGTGGGTTTTTTTTTTTTTCTTCCAACGGATGCATGAATGAAATATTTTCTATTACTTTTATTGCACTCCATTCAAAGTTTTCTTTGTAGCTGTTTATAGAAAAAGTGTCCAGAGGATTCTTGACTACAAGCTTGGCAGGCAGTATTAAATCCTAGTTCGTAGCTTTCAGCCATAAGATGTTGATAATGCAACCGGCAAATAAATGTATTTTGTCTTTCTCTTCTATACTTAGAGACTTTGGGATTGACTCAATTCTGATCATCTTGCCAGTATTTCTGGAATTGAAATTAAAATTTTTTTTCAAGATTTAATCTATTAATTGATTAACACCTTTGAACGAAGCACAGCTTTTTCATGTGTCTCACTAAGGCTTCAGAATAGAGGGAATGGATTGTTTGTATATACATGTCAAAGTCTCAAAATTTTTTAAAGGCTCAAAACTTTAAAGAAATATGCGTGTATATCATGCATACACATGTATCTCTAATTTATTTATTTATTTGTTTGTTTGTTTGTTTTTGTTTATACATGCACTGGGTACAGTCAGAAGCGCGGGAGGGTGAGAGAATTCACCAGAGCCAGATTGGGGAACAGAACAGGCAGAAGGACTGAAGTACACCACTGAGGGGAGCAGCAGGCTACAGGAGAGGTCTGCGCGCCATGTGGGACCCTCCTCCGGTGGCCGGGGAGCAGCCGGGGATCGAACTGGCGCCGCAGAGGCTGCGGGCAGCTTCGCAACCCAGCGCTCAACCACTGCACCACCGGGGAGGCCCGTATCTCTAATATTTTTTATGGAAATTAAAAGTCAGGCATTTTGGTCTTACCATTTGTACAAGGTTAAGCTCATTTACCCTAAAAGACAAAGAAGAGTTGCCTCTTGTAGATCCCTGTTCTTTGTACTCTGTCCCATCCAGTGGGAGAAGAAGCTCGGAGGATTCTGAGGATAGAGGAATTGAAAATACTTAAAAATTGCTATTTACATCTCTCTTTTTTTGGTGTTTTTGATTCTGAAGTTCTGTGTTCATTGATCCATTGGCTAGGAGTAGAATTTTTGCCTAATTTGTTCATTTGTTTATACAATAACTATTTGTGTGTATACTTGGTAAGATACTATGATGGCTTCATTAAAAAGATAACTATTTTTATGCTTTTAAGAGTTAATATCTCCTTAGAGGAACTATCATATAAATAATGTATCAAACAGCAGACTAAATTTGTCATGTCCAGAATGAAGGTTAAACTTTATTGCTTTGGTAAGCTATATGGCATTCTTAACTATTTTTGATACTGATTTTTTTTTGTATTACTTTCACAACTTTTTACACAGTGAATGGATACTTTCACTATGTAATGGACACTTCATATATTAGATACTGTGCCCACATGCTAAGGGTGATATGATAGTAAATGTGTGGGTGAAATAAAACAAATAAGATGTCAGATTTTTCTCTTTGAACATGTGACTTTTCCCTCTTCCCTAACCTGGGTAGAAGTTGTGTTGGGAGGAACCCAAGATGACCCTACTTAGGGCTTGCTAGGGAACCGTGGAGCCAGTTGGATCCCAGGTTGTCCTCAGTGGCTCTGCCTAGCCTCAAACCCACCTGGTTTTCCACCTTTCTCTCCGGTCCCTCAACACAAATTTCCAGACTCTACCCAATGTCTCCAGGACCAGTAGCTGACTAGGGAGCAAGGCAGTGCCCTGGGGGAGGTACCCAGATCTACCTTCCCAACATCCATCCATGGACAGCTCTGCCACCCAGGGGGAGAAATGTCCTTCTCTTTCTTCTCCTGGGGCCATGGAGGGTAGAGAGGTATCTCCTGGGTCCCCCAAAACACCCTGTGTATCCATATAAATAAATGTGATTTTAATGGTGCCTCCCCCAGTAAACTTTGGGAGGTAACTTAAGAGAACAAGCAACCTTTAGATTTAATTTCCATTTTCTTGTATGTTACTGCAATTGATTTTTATTTGACGGATCTGCTGTTTGATGGATTATTTATGTGACCTGTTAGATGATTTGATCTCAGTCTTCTGATGAGCCACATTGTTATTCTCCTCCATGCTGCACAAATTAGGTATTTGTTACCTCTGTATTTATTATCTTGTATAATCCTTTTCACACTTTTTCATGATCAGTTTGATGTTGATACATTCTTTTAGTTTGAAATTCATGGAGTTCTAGTGAAACTCCATGCTCTTGCCTCTGTCTTGCATGTTAATCTTGCAGGATAGAGTATTTTAGGTTGGAAATATTTTTCTTTTAGTACTTTAAATATTTTCTTTCCCTTCTTGCTTGTAGGGTTTCTACTAAAATGTCCAAGGACAATCCAATTGGGTGTTCCTTTATAGGTTACATTTTCCCCTCTTGGATCAGGACATCTGGTTCATTTTCCGGATTGATAATGGTTCTTAAAAATTATTTCTTTGGGGCCTCCCTGGTAGTGCAGGCGGTTGAGCGCAGAGCTGTGAAGATATCTGTGGCCTCTG